TATCAAAACCCAATCAAACACAAGCAAACAAACAAACAAACAAAAAAAAAGATCAAATAAAATCAAAAAAAAAAGAATCAAACTAAACCAAAAGAAAAAACGAAAATCATCAAATAGCTTGTGGCGCCAATAATTGAACGAAACACACACACACACACAACAACAACAACAACAGTGAACAAGAAAAACACACACACACACACACAGCCATTTAGTGGATTTCATTTGTATTTGATTTTTTTTCTGTTCATTTTCATTTTCAAATACACAAAAGTCACAAACGTACACATTCAGTCTGTACAGTATATGACATTTAAAATCATTTGGTATTTGTTTGTGTGTGTGTGCGTTATTTGCCATTTAAATTGAATATATATATATTTCAATATATATATTGATGCGACGTGTACGATTGATGAATGGAAATATTTGGGTTTTATGCCGGATTTATCATCATCATCATCATATTGTGGTGATGAAAGGATCACCAAAATGGTAGCGTTTTTTTTCTCATTTCAAAATGAAAAGAAAAAATAGCTGCAGCGAATGAAGAATAAAAAAAAATCCAGGAAAAATCCAAGAAAAAAATGAAATTCTGAAACTGATTTCGCCGTTTGTGAAAGCCGTTAAAACTCAGTATTGGAAAAAAAAGACGTATCGGAAACAAAAGAGAAAGATAATTGAAAAAAAATGTGAAGCAAAAAAATTTTCATTCTGCCTCGAATTCACATATTATGTGACAAACAGACAAACAAACATATATATAGATAAATAAACGACAAAGGCATCAGATTCTTCTCTCTCTCAGTAGAATTTTTGTTGTTCATTCACTCATTTTTTATTTCATTTCCAACGAACAACACACACAAAAAAATTCTTTTCTCTCTTTTTGTGATTTGTTGTTCTGTCGATTATGGTTTCCATTATATCCAATGAAAAAAATAGAAAAGAAAAAAAGAAAAACGCAGCCATCAATTTGGATTTGACATTGACTTTTTCGCTTTTTTTTCTAATTTTATTCATTCCATTCTATTCATTGATGTTTTTTTTTCTCGCCGCGTTGTTTGTCATTTTCATATGGTGTGTGTGTGTGTGTGTGTGTGTGTGTGTGTGTGAGTGTGTTGAAGATTTTGATTCATCAGAAAATGTCAGAAATATTTCGGAAAAGAAAAAACATTCGATTCATAGCATCGTTTTTTTTCATTTTTGGAAAAGCAAAATGCAACAAATCAATTATAGACTATTATCAAACAAAATGAATAAAAATGTGTTATATTGATGTTTTTGAAATTTCAGTTATTGAAAAAAAATATTGGCCTTTAACAACAACAACAACAAAAGCCGTGATAGTAAAGGGGTGTAAAGTTTTTTTTTCAATTGAAAAGAAAAAATTTTTCAAGAAAATTCATTCATTCATTCACACTGAATACAAAAAACAAGACAAATATGTGATTCATTTTGAATTTATTCGACAACGAAAAAAAAAAAAAAAAATTCCAAGTTACAGATGCTTTGTGGTATATCATGGAAAAAAACAGACCAAAAAAAAACCCAACACAACTACTATTCTCGACCATTTGATCAAATAAATGTCTACAAAAAAGGCCCGAAAAAAAGCCTCTAGTGTCAATGGATGAATAATAATAATTTGCCGGCTGTTGTCATCATGAATATTCTATCTATTGAAATCTCTTGAAAATTTATTATTTTTTTTTATTCTTCTTCTTCTTCATATACGAATGAATGTTTGGAAATACAAAAAAAAAAACCAGCAGGAAACAATGGCCATATAAAAAAAAGCGACAGAGTGAGAGAATGCATTCGAATTTCAGAATAAATTTAATTCAATTTATTATTTGTCGAGTTGTTGTTATTGTTGTTGTTGTTGTTCTGAATCGTCATCATCATCATCATCATGATGATGAAAATGATGAGTTGGCCAGAATAAAAGCAAAACGGATCATTTTTCCATATGGTTTTTCTTTCTGGTTCAACATTTTTTTTCTTGCCATTCAAATGTTAGATGTTGTTTTTGTTGTTGTCGTTGTTGTTGTTGTTGTGGTGATAATGAATTTTATTGAATTGAAATTTTTTTCTCATCGTCACTGGTCATATATATGAATGACACATCATTTTTCTTCGACAAACATCCACCCACACACACATGCACACGCACACAGACAACGAACAAAATGAATGAATGAATAGGAGAAAAAAATTCAGAATTTTTTTTTAAAAAAAACTCAAAAGATTATTAAATTTATGAAACAAATCAGACCAACAACTCCGAATTGGTTGTTATTGATGGTTTAATTTTTGAAAAATAAAACATTCAATTTTCATTCATGCAAAAACGAATATATGGACATATCATTTTCATCGAAATTTTTTTTGAACAAAAACCAAAAAAAAAAAAAGAAATGAATGAATGAATAAAGGTTTTTCTGTTGATTTTTCTTGTTTTGGAAGCTAATAATAATAATAATAACAATGACAAAAATGAAATTTGAAAATTTTTTTTTTTATTTGCTTTATATTTATTTAATGTTTTTCTGCGTGTGTGTGTGTGTTTGATGTTTTTTTCAGACATCAGCATGAAAGAAAGAAGATAACAAAATAATCAGATATAAAAAAATGATGATAACATACACACACACACACACACACTGGCAAACATGTATATATGGCCCATTAAAAGCTAAAAGTTTTTCGATCATGTTTAACAACAACAACAACAACAACAACGATGATGATGATGATGATGACAACAGAATGGATTCGATAAACATCCAATTTTTTTCATGTTCTTTTTTTTGTTTTTTGTTTGTTATTATAAACTCTACAAACAATAATGTAGGTGAATGGTGGTGGCAGACAGATAAACAAACAGAAATCTACTCAGGATAGGTCATCATCATCATCATCATCATCATGGGAATGGATCTTTGTTTGTTTCAAAAAAACAAAAAACAAAATCAAATGAACATTACTACACATTCACTTTAATTATAATTGAACGATAATCATGATTTGGTCATCTTAGTAGATGCTCAATGTGTGATTGTGTGTGTGTGTGTGTCCAGTTTAATTTTTTTTTGTTGTCACTTTTTTTTATCTATCTGTAGAATGACAATCATCTAATAAAGTTATCGCACATTCACACACACACAAGGTAACACGAATGAAATGACAAACAAAACACATCAAAACAATAATGTAGGTGAATGGTGGTGGCAGACAGATAAACAAACAGAAATCTACTCAGGATAGGTCATCATCATCATCATCATCATCATGGAATGGATCTTTGTTTGTTTCAAAAAAAAAAAACAAAATCAAATGAACATTACTACACATTCACTTTAATTATAATTGAACGATAATCATGATTTGGTCATCTTAGTAGATGCTCAATGTGTGATTGTGTGTGTGTGTGTCCAGTTTAATTTTTTTTTGTTGTCACTTTTTTTTATCTATCTGTAGAATGACAATCATCTAATAAAGTTATCGCACATTCACACACACACAAGGTAACACGAATGAAATGACAAACAAAACACATCATTTTTTTCAGGGGAAAAAACGGTAGTAAATGGCGTAAAAAAAAGACATAAAAAATCTCACCATTTTTGAGTGTCGTCGTTGTCGTTGTTCAGTTGGAAGGTGTTTCATGTTTGGTGGAAAAGAAAAGAAAAGAAAAAATTTTTGAACAAAACACTGGCGATCCAAATTCAACAAACAAATATTTGTAATGGTTTTTCGTTTATGATGAATCAAAATGACAAACAGCGGAATTCAAAGAAAAAAACTTGAAATGAATTTTTTTCTTCATCGAATAAGATTATGGAAACATAAAAATAAGAGATTTATTCACATGAAGAAGAAAAATTTAAATCAAAACATAACACACACAAACAGAAAAGAGATTTTCGGACAAACTGGATTGAAAGTTTTTTTTTGGTGAGGATGAAACAAACAAACAAACGGAAAAATTGATCCGTTTGAATTTTAAAATTGAAATTCAATCCATTTTCATCCGTTGGATATGATGATAAGAATTTTTTTTTTTTCGTTTGAAAGTTTGAAGAAATTCAAATCGGATTTTTTGTTATTTATCCATCGATGATGATCATTTTGATCGATGTTTTTTGATTTATTCAAACGAGAAGAATGAGAACAACGATGGTTGAATAATGCAAATTTCAACAACAACAACAACAAAAAAACGGATAATAAAACTTGCAGTATACGAATACAAAGTTTTATATTTATGCATTAAAAAAAATGAGCAAAAAATTCACAAATCATGAAATTCATAGCTGAACAAAAAAAATTGTTGATGATGATGATAAAAATCCATAGATCATGATCATAAATCATTATAGATGGAAATAACAAAAAATCTTTCAAGCATGTAATTAGAAACAAAAAAAACCGAGTAGTACATAGTGGCATTTCATAGAATCCTGGTGGAGGTGGTGGTGTTGTTGTTGTTGTTGGAATCAAATTCTCAGTCAATTCGAGAAATTCATTGATTTCGTGATGATGATGATGATGATGAAAAAAAATTCATGTGAAAAGAAAATTTAAAAAAATTAAAAATTTTCATCACACACACACACAAATTTTTCATCCACAAAAAAATCACTTTTAATGAGAATTTTTATTTAAATAATGAGAAACAGAATTATTTCCGGGAAAAATCATGATAAACAATCAGTTTTTGAAATGAAAACCAAAGAGCGAATAATCGATTGATTCTTGGATGATGATCAAATTTTATAATCAACATGATTTTATTTGTGTAAAGTAAAGAAAATTGAAAAAAAAATCACCAACAATATGACAACAACAACAACAACAACTACGAATAATAATGTGTGTGTGTGTGTGTTTGGATACCGCGCTTTCAGCAACCGACGTCCAAATAACAACTGGCGTCCATTTCAATTCCACCAATTCGGTGTGTAACGCCAACACCATAGTAGTGTTTTTTTTTCTATTTTATTTGTGTTTTGTAAACTTGTGTGTTCATTGCACACTCTCGTCGTTTTGGGCGATGATTCATATATGAATTAACGGAATAAATTTTTTAGTGAAATAAAAAAGCAAATTGTACGCCATCCCGTGATCAGCATTTAAAGCTTTTTTGAAATTAATGATTGTTGATTGATAGACTGATTTATAGATGGCAGCAGGTGTTCAATAATGTGTTGAAATTGAATCATCTCATCAAGAAGAATAATATTTAAAAATTGAACAAAATATAAACACAAATCCACCAATTATTTGAACTAAATTTGAATGAAAGAAAATTGTGAACATTTCATTTGATACAAACAACCAGATTCAAATACCATTACGAACAGAAATAATTTCCGAAACGATTCTTGAACATAAAACAGCCGTTGCATTGGTAAGAAAATTCCCGCAAAATGAACCCAGACCAACAGCCCAACGGTTTTGTTTGGCAGACAATAGAATTGTGCTCAATTGACTTCGATCACCCCATTCAGCCAGAAAGATGAGTGAAAAAATTTTCAAAAAAATCGAATACAGCGATAATGTCGAAACATTTTTCGCTGATGAAATCGTTTGTTTTTCAATCATTTTTTCCATTTCACTTAGATCCGAATCTTTTTTCATACTGTATCCTGGGTAGGAAAAAAAATCGAGAATTAATTGATCTATTTATCTATTGCAATATCGAATACCAACCTTCAACAATCATTTTGATGCCAAACATAGCGAATAAAATGATTGAAATGTAATGAATAATAAATGGTGAAATATTTGCCGTCATTGTACCGAGAAAAACTGTTTCACGATAAGAAAAAAAAACGATGAAAGAATGTTTGTAATTATAACGAGAAAACATATTCTCAACAATAATAATAATCATCATCAAAAAATACTGACTGGATAGAATGTTCATTGTGGTCAATGCAAACATTGATGACATGAACACTAAACATCGTGGATATTCCAATGAAAATATTGATGTTGTTAGAAATGTTTTATCACCAAATTCTGATGCCAGAATCAATGTGAATGATGAAAGGAAACCGTTCCAGAATTCTTGCATCTTGTTGTTGTTGTTGTTGTTGTGGTTATCATATGTGAAATTTTTTTTCTTCCTCAAGAAAAAAAATAATTACAAGGAACCATAGTAGTGGAATAAAATGTTATTATTATTATCACCAGAAAAAAAAACTTTTTATTTATTGATCATGATCAATTATGATTAATAGTCAAGTGGTTTTTTGATCAGCTAATTGGATTGGCTGATTGGATTTCAATTTGCTTGATTTATTTAAATAAGACAAACTAAATCTAATCTAATCATTGAGAAGCAATTGTTGATAATTGTAATTATAATATAATGATGATTTAAAGTAGATCAAGTTACAATTTATTCATTTTTTATCTCAACCAAATCAAAGTCAAATTCACTTAATAAAATTACAGCCAATTCAATCGTGACTATTAATCAATCACATCGATTTAATCGATGTTTATGACCATGTCCATATAAACAATGGTCAGCTGGACAAAATGTTTTTATCAAATTATTATTATTTTGAAAATTTATTGAATTAAAAAATAAAAAAATAAAACAAAATCAATCAATCAATCAACAATTTTTTTCGTGTGTGTACAATTGCTATGGATGAATATGTGATTTATTGTATACATGATGATGATGATGATGATCATGATTTGATTTGGCAGCAGATCAATCAAAAATCAATATTTACAAGAAAAAAAATATGAATAAGGCACAAAACTATTATTTTGATGATTAATTACAAAATAAAAAAAATCATTGGATGTTCAATGTTATTGCAGATACAATGGCCAATACGATGATGACAATATTCATCTGATGATAATCAATAATGGCCACATTTCTTTGTTGTTGATTCTGATGATGATGTAATTGAGCTTGATAATCGGATAATTGTTTAGTTTGACCACCATTAGTGTTATATTGTCTTGACCAACGATTATCGTTATCCACAACAGTACGTGATGGCAATCCATTAAGATAAGCTAATTAAAATTGGTAGAAAAAAAAGAAGACAAAAATCAAAAATTAATAACAATATATATACCTTGCATTGATTTGATCGATTGGCTTTAACCATTATCGATTATTCACATGATCGATAATAATGAAAAAGTTTTTTTTAGTCCCAATTTAATTCAATTCAGAACATCATAAATTGATCGGAATATTCTGTCTGTGTGTGTGTGTGTGTGTGTGTGTGTGTATTCTGATAAAGAAATCAAGAAAATAAAATTCTCTTCCATAGTATGATTATGGAAAAAAAACTTTAAAGTATAGAAAATCTCTCTCTTTGGCATACAAGTATTACTCAATGATGATGATGAAAGAATTCATAACATTCCATAACAATGAGTGATGATAGATGAAGAAAAAAAAAGTTGACTGATCTTGCCTGATCATATCAAGTATTAGTATTCTGAAAACATCATTCTTCATTATTCTAGCATTTTTTTTTTTTTGTTCTTTTCATTTCAATGCATTATATATCCCCTAAGCATCAAAAGAATGAAGCATGTGATTTGATTTATTCTGGCAAGAAAAAAGGAACCGAAATAGCGGGAAATAGAGAGAGAGAATTTTGAGCTAAAATCTTAAGCTTTTCAGTGTGTGCATCAATGAATGATGAATTGAGTTTTTGGAGTTTCGAACCAAATAAACCACACAAACACAAAAAAACGGACAGATTCTTTGGTTCTTTAGTCTAGATGTATGGATAGTATAGTGTGGAAATTAATTTTTGTTTCGTTTTTTTCTGTGGTTTTCAATCACTTCATTCAATAAACTTACTTGATGGATAGATCAATTTGATACGTTTTTTACGTATATAGTTTGTGGTTGGAATCTCTAATCGACATTCATAGATTGTACCAACTTTGATTGAATCAATACCAAGTCGATATTCAAACCATGATGTATATAGCTGTGGTTGTTGATGATTACTTTCATTTAAAATTGTAATTACATCGATTGCTGGAAATAATTGTTTTAATTGTGATTGTGGTGAATATGGTCGTGGTGGTCGTTGATAATTCATATTCATTATTGCCATTGAATCACTAGCGATCAATTCGGAAAAGCTCAACACTGGTTTCGGATATACATTTTGTGCACTACAACGGACCATTGGTCCATTGTGGACATCGTCATCGTTGTCATTATCAACATCACCACCACCATCATCATCATCATTATCATTATCAATATTTTGCACTTTTTTTGTACTAAAATCATTTGTAGGTGGTAAATTCAATTGACCATCATTTGAGAATATGTTGAATTCAAATTTTTCCGGTGGAACTGGAAAAAGAAATGAAAAAATATTAATTATCGAAAACAACCACAAAATAAAACATACCATAAAATACAAGTTGACCTTGACGTGAATCTTGGCTCATGATTGATGAAATAACACAGGTATAATTACCGCTTAATTCTAAACCAAATGGTAAAGTGGATGACGATGGTGGTGGCATCAAACGTATTGCACGATATTTAGTAAAACGATCATCACCAATCTGAAAATTCATATCGAAATATTTTCGTATCGATTGACCAACATATCGGTTGTTATCGGATTCCGGAATCCATTGATAAATTGGTTCTGGAAAATCATTATAAAACCAACGGACAACTAATTTAATATCTTCCTCAGTATCATATTGATAATCACAGTCCATGATGATTGAATTAGAATAATTACTACTATCCACTGATTGTGTGATCCAATGTCGAACAATTCGAACGGATAAACAATCTAATGATAAAAGAAAAAGAAAATATAGTTAGAAACGACTAATTTCTAAAATCACATGGGACAAAAAAAGTAGTAGCCATTAACATAAATAACCATAAACAAATGAAACAATCAAATAATCACTGATTTTGATATCATCATCATCATCATCGTCATATAGTCATAATATAATCATTTTCAATTCGTTTATTGCAATTTTAATTATATACCCATTGTTGATTATTTGCTGCTAGTCACTTGGTAATTAATGGGTTTTCATTTCATTATTTATTGTGATTATTATCGCACATCAAAAACATTACCATTCAATGATTCTGTTAACCCAAATTTTTTTTTCTGTTCACGATAAGTGCAATTTGTGATTATTATGGCCCATTTGGTGCAGAAGAAATGAGAAAAAAATTCAAATGAAAAACATTAAAATACAAAATGTTTTGACAATTTGGTATGATGACTTTCCACATCATCATCATCATCAGATTTATAGTTAGTGTAAACAAATATTAATGGTCATTAATGACCATTTGTAAAATTGATAATTATCTTAACAGCAGAACAGCAACAACAACAACAAAAAATCTAAATGATGATAAAGAAATTAGATGGCGACAGATTTTCATTTTGTTGTTGTTGTTGAAAAAAAAACAAATCAATTTTTTTTTGTTCTCTGTTTTTCAACATTGACAAAATGAATTGAAAATATCGATTCCATTCAATGGCCAACTAATTGCCATAATTTGTTGTTTTTTTTCGATTCTGTTTTTACGATTTTAATTGCAACCATTTTCATTTATTCGCAGAATAGTTAACAGAATCTTTCATTTGGTTGTCTATTTTTTCCACTGTTTTTGTCGTTGTTTATTTAATGATGCTTGTTAGAAATTTTTTTTTCTCACTCAAAAATAATCAAGATTGATGATCGATATTGTTAATGATCGATTAAACAGAAATATTCAATGTTGTAAAAGTCAATACATTGTCACAGTCAAAGTGATTATCCTCATCACAGAAAAAAAAAGTTTTTTCATCTTTTGGTGAAAATGAAAACAAAAAAATTCTCTATACACACAGATTAGTATAGTATGGCTTTAGAGCAAGCGATTTAAAACTTATTGACACAAACAAGGAATGATAATGACAACGATGATGATGATGATGACGAAAATCTTTTTAATCATTCAGATCAATCAATTATCAGTCATTAGTGTTGGTCCAGTGTTAATGATTCTTTGGTTTTACAAAACAGAATTGAATAGATATATATCCAAACGCAAAATTCCTTAATGACCTAATTCCAAAACTTTACAAGTTTGAAACATAAACACACATACACCCACACAGAGAGAGAGAGACAAAGTTCAATCAGTTTTTTTGTGTAATTTTAGTATTAATAAATAAAAAAAATGAATCACATACACACACACACACCATCCATTAAAATCAATTGAATCTAGAAAAAAAATCAAATTGATTTTTAATGTGAAACTCTTAATGGATCACACACACACACAGAGAGAAAAAAAGACAAAAAATTGTCATTCAATGGAAACAAAAAAAAATGATCATCGAGTGATCATCATCATCATTATCTCTGTCATCATTATGACTTTTATGATGAAAATTCACTATACTCAAACAGAGAGATTGATATGATTGAACAAAAAAAAATGGACGACATCATTTTTTTTTTCTTCCAACGACTACTAATCATCAATGACTATAGTAGTAGATGTTTTATTATTGTAGAGAGAGAGAGAGCAGAAAAGAAAGAAAAATGAATGAAGAATTGATCGTAGAAAAATCAATTAGAAATCAGGATGCAGTAATTTTTCTTTTCATTCACGAGGATATATTGCTTCATAGCCAGAATTCAAGAATTTCATTTCATTCGGGAGCCATAATAATTTTTGCTTTCTTTGATTATTTCAATTCTTCACAAGTCATTTTTTTTAGTCAGGAAAAACATATTTTTTTTCTATTTGCAAAAATCTGTTTTATGATGATGATGATACTTAACGACGACACTTTTTCATATCAAATGGGAGAAATTAATCTTCTTAAATGTGAATAATACACATTCGCGTAGATAGTGATGAAAAAAAACTGCCATTAATTCAACAAAGAATATTCTATGGATAGAAAATGGATTTTTTTATTCTTTTTTCTCCTCATGAATTGTGAAAAAGGTCAGAAATTTGGTCGTTAAGTGTAAATGAATGAGTGATTATTATTCTTTGGCAAGAATTTTTTTCGTTTTTTGTTGTTGTTGTTGTTGTTGTTGTTGTTCATCAAGAATTCTTATTCCAGCAAACAATGACAATCATCTAATTACAACGATAGATGGATGACACACATATAAAAAAGCGTTCATGACAAACAACAAATAACAATTCAATGTCAACTTTGAACTATTTGTTTCATTTAGTGAAATTGGATAATAAGAATTTGTTCTAATTATTATTACATGTATTTGTTTGTTTTTTGTTGTTTCGACAACGATGACAACAACAACAACAACAACAACAATGACGACGACGACAACAACAACAACAACAATGACAACGATAACAGAGAAAGAAGTTTTTTTTTGTTGTCGATATAATAATCGTGACTTCTATGATAAAAACGAATGAAATACACAAACAACGACCATACTATTGAACAATTATTAATTGTCATCAAACAAGTTTCGATGGCAAACAAACAAGCAAAGAAAATATTTCCAAAGTATCGAATAAAAGAAAAAAAAATGTGCCCAAGTCAGAGACAATCTCACAGTGTGTGTTTGTGTGTGTGTGGGATATTAATATGGTGAAATTTGGTCATTTTTCTTTTTTACTTTTTTTCTTTGTCCAATACAATCTGTCAATTTATACGATGACACACATATATAAAGATGTTCAAGTTGCTGGACTGCAGTCCAATACACACACATCGATTCTATTTGATTTTGTTTACACAACAAGAGAGAGAAAGAGAGAAAAGAAACAATAAAATGTAGCTTTTTTTTCGGTCGTCGTTCAATTCATTATCGATTGTATATGTGTGTGTATTATGTAGAAAAACTATTTACGTAAATCTGATCATTATCTCAGGAGAATCATCTATACATAAAATAAATGATGGTGATGGTGATGGTGGTGATGGAAATGAAAAACGATGAAAATTATTTTGGATATATATAAAGTTCAAGTTTGCAATTGAATTGAATTGAAAACAATGTGTAGAAAAATGCTGTGTGTGTGTGTGTGTGTGTGTGTGTGTATAGGCGATTGTAAGTAGTCATGATGAGTGCCAAAAACAAAGTGTTTTTTTTCGGTGTGATTTTCGATCGAATCAATATTGTGTGAGTGTGTGTGTGTGTGTCACAATGAATGCCAGTAAGATGTCGTTGAACCAATTGTATAGAATTTTTTTTTTCTTAAAATTGAAAAAAATCGATTTCAAGCACCAAACACACACAAATGCGAAAAGTCAAGTGTGTGTGTGTGTGAATAGTACAACAATAAATGAATTGAAATTGACGAAAAAAAAACAGAAAGAATATAAAACATGAGAAAAAAAGACACGATTCCGACATTAAAAACACTGTATTGACTGTAGATTTTCGGATTGAATTCCTTCACTTATTCATTCGACCACTTTGCAATAGAGTTTTCGTCCATCAATCCTATTCTCTTTGCAAGTCGCGTGTGTGTGTGTGTGTGTATTTGAATAAATCCAACACAAAGAAAGAGAGAGAGAGAAAAAATCCTGAATAAACACAACACAATATATTCAAACAAAGCCAATTTCTGGTGGATAGATAGTTTGTAGAGTTTGTGTGTGTGTGTGTATATATAAAAAAGTTCGATTCTTGATTCGATACGATAATAAAGATAATAATCAAAATGCTTGAACAAAATGATGAAAAAGAAAACATTCAAACCATTTATATACGATTCTGGATTCTATTATTCTAACAAACGACTAGTAGTTCAGCATTGTTATCATCATCATTATCGGATTTGATTTTTTTTTTTTTTTTTGCATTCTAGAACATTATTTCAAACGACAATAATGACCAAAAAGTTGAAACAATTTTCAAGAGAATTTTTCCTTGTTTTAAAATACAAATTGTCAAAATTAAAAATTCATTTCATTTGAACAAACGAATAACGAAAATTGCAACAAAAACGTATAGAAAGGTTGGAATTTAAAAAGGATACATTTGCGCACAATCCGAATACACTTGAATTTAAATTGTTGGACGAAAAAAAATATGTTGGTCTTTTTTTTCATCTTTGCAAATCCAATTTTCTAAATTGAACCATACCAAACCAACCGACAACAGCAACGTCATCATTATAGATAGAATGACCAACAACAACAACAACAACAACAGATCAAAGATTTTCAAATTTCAAGACTTTTTTATCCATCATTCAAGAATAATCTAATAGAATAAATTTCATTTTGTTCATCATCAAATTCTAAATTCGATGAAACATCAAATTGAGAATTTTTTTTCTTTGAAACAGGAAACATTTATCAAAAAAGAAAAACGAAGAAAGAGGAAATAAAGAATTCTAAATCAACATTTGCATATTGCAGCTCTGCTGTTGTTGTTGTTTTAAATTTTTTGCTCATCTTGAATATTCTGCCGTCTGTGTTCCATCATCAACATCATCTAAAATGCTTCTGCTGCTGCTGCTTGTTTTGAAACATTTTTCAATCGGATAAACTTTTTCTTGCTAGTTTGCTCTCAACTTTTTTTTCTACGTTTGTTCGTTTGTTTGGCTGTTTTTTTTTCAATTTTCATGACCCAGAATAGTAGTGGGGAAAAAAATGAAGAGAAATCGATCTTTTCATTGAACTAAACAGAAAAAAACGAGACCGGAATATTGTTTCAACAAATAATCAAGTTTTTGTTTTCATCTGAAAACAAAAAAAAAAAAAAAATTCCTACACACACACACACATTGATAATGAAATCAATTTTGATGATTAAAATAAAGTTTTCGAGTTTTTTTTTGCCTTGAATTTTTTTTCTGTTCTTTATCCATTTTGTTTCAATTTTATTTGCCGTCGTCATCAACATCATCAACGCTAGATGATGGTAATGAGAAAAGAAAACATTTTTCTTGGATTCTTTGTTGACGAATGATGATGATGATAACAATAATCGTATATAATTGAATTTGAAAAGGTAGCAAAGAATAAAATATTTCAGTTCTAGTCAGCAAAAATTTTTCTTTTGTTGTTACCATTTTTTTGTGTATGTCATTTCGTTTGTTTTTGTTTGCACATTTCTATTTTGTGGTCCAAAATGATCATGATGATCATCATCATCATCATTTGGGTTAAATCAATATTTTTCTTTTCAATTACCAGCGAGAAAAAAAAACTGGTTAACAGCAACGTGAACACATTGTGTATGTGTGCATGTGTATGAGAATCATAATTCAATTTTCCAAACATCGAAAAAAAATGATGCCATGGTGTTTCACAACAGTTGATATATGAAAGGAAAAAAAACGAGAAACTTCCGGGAAAAATGACGAAAAAGTTATATGGAACCTAAATAGATTAGAATGTTGAGAATTTTGGACAACTTTTTTTTCTCATCATTCATTCATTTATCATAACATTTAATAGTGAGAAAAAAAAACAAACTAGATCCATCATCATAGATTGTGATAAATTGAATAATTTTTTTTCTGTTTCGTTGAGAGTCTAAAGGCTTAGCAAAAAAAATTTCATTCAATAACAATTATATCACGTATATGATATATGAACTGGACAATAGACACATCTTATATATCGGTGAATCAGTTTATCAACTCTATATTATGTTATTATGGTGCTTGATGATTTTACTTGTCTGATTGATTCTTGATTCCATATGATTGATCACAATAGACTGGACTAGACTAGCCAGCAAGTCAAGTATATATTTTTTTTTTTTTGTTGACTTGATAGTTTGATCACAATTCAGGTCATATATATATATAGATTGATGATAAATATGTCTACCAACAAACGCACACACACACACACATAAAATATAGATCATCATCATGATCATCATAATTCATCCACTTCCACCACCTATACACACACACACACACACACACATGGCACAAATTCAAATCATAATCTTACAAACAACACATGGTTATATATATGTGAATTATATCATATCAGGTAAATTATGAATGAGACATAACATAGTAAACACACACACACACGCACACCATAGATAACACAAAGAAAAAAAAAAAATTGTTGTCGTAATAATTATGATATGAAAGACACAGCAATAAAATAAAATAAAAAACGAAAAACGTTAAATTCAGGTGAATCTGCCATTTTGTTTTCAGTTGCTGCTGCTGTTGATTATTATTATGGCCAAAGCAAATGTGTTTTTATTTACTCAGAGTTAGCAAAAAAAAAAAAAAGAATGCCGCATGTTTCATTATGATGATGGAAAGTTTGCAACTAATTAATCACTAGAAGCCATAGAGAGAAAGAGACACGCACAACATACAGGTATACAAAAAAAAAGATCCAGGATCAACGGAACTAAAACACAGAAACATTGTTGTTAATCTCTTTCTCTCTCTCTGTGGATTCCATGTATCTAATGGCGGGATTTTTACCATTTCGCCCGGTTTATAATAGGTAGCAGTACTAGGAAACCAATCATTGAATGTTTTCATATGATATTTGTATCGACCAAATAAAAATTGATTGAATTCCAAATGAATAAAACAACATACGGTGAACAACAATCCAGAAAATGTTGTCGTTGTTTGTTGTTCCATTTTCTTTGGAGAATAAAAACAAACTTTAAAAGTTTTTTTCCACCGTACAAACACTGTAAAGAAATTCTTTTTTTTTCTTTCAAGGAAAAAAATTCTCATTCTTCTCAATTTATTGACAACGAAAACAAACAAACAAACAAACGTTAGAGCGGCAAAATGAAAATGGAAAATCGAAAAAAAAAATTTGAAATGCAAATCACATGTTTTTGGTTGTTGTTGTTCCAAAATGTACTGGATATTTGAATTTCATTTCTTGTCAACGCCCCCCCAATTTTTCCACCCACCCACATTCACTTATTACTCAGTTCTTATCGATTCTGATCATTTCATTTTATTTTATTTTATGTATTCCAAATACAAAACAAAACAAACAAAAAAAAAATAGGAATCGGAGATATGATAATCAATTAAGGAATTTTTGTTTTTATTACAAGATAGCAAAATAACGCAACAGTCATGTATAAAATAAAAATGTACGTAATACATTTATGTACAACACACACACACACACAATTTGTACAAATTGAATAACCATCATCATCATCATCATCATCATCGATCAATCAAAGAAGCCAAGAAAAGTGAATGATGAAAATGGAAAAAATGCCTTTAAGCTTTCTCATTGGAGAATAAGAGTACAGTAAGTAATGCACACCAGCACACACACACACACACACACACACCAATATTTTTATCATCATCATCGTTTATTAAAGTCAAGTGTGTGTGTGTGTGTGTATTTGATGATCCAAAAAAATATCTCATGGGATATATACAATATTCAATTTTTTTCGATATTTTTTTTTTTTTTTGAAAATTGTTTCTGGAACTGATAAATGGCAAATGGTTGGATAAAGAGTAAAAAGTTGAAAATGATGGAAAATATTTTTTTCATCTTCTTCATTCAATAATGTACGCGTATCTGTCAAATGCACACGTTACACACGATATACGCCCACACGCAAATAAATACATGAATGAGAGAGAGAGAAAAAAAAAATTGTAACCCAGAATAAACAACAACAACAACAACAACAAAAATTTCGATTTCTATGACGATCGAAAACACACACACACACACAGACAGACAGATAACATTTGAAATCGAATTCAAATTATACTCTTGAAATGGTTATTGGCAATATATGGTGTGTTTAGGTGTATGTTATCAAATGTAATTTATCGAAAAAGCAAAAAAAAAAAAAGAAAAATAAAACAACAACAAATCAAGCACGTCAAACACGAAAAGAGTTTTTTCATTCAAACCTTGTGCGATTCTGTTTGAAATCTCATTTTAACACACACACACACACATATGGTATTCGTGTGTGTATGTGCAACACACTTTGACATTACACAGCAAAACGAACGAGAAAAAAAAAATCGAATCAAATTGGAAAAAGAATCGAAAAAAAATTATGAATGAAATGAAATGATGGCAATAAATTTCTTTTTTGATACTTTTCTGCGGAAAAAAAGCAACTAAAGAATCAAAAAAAAAAAAATTACTCAGTCCTTTATCATCATCATCATCATCATCATCATCGTTAGAATTATTATTCATGTATGTAATTCGTGGAATGATTAGAGAGAATGGGAAAAAAAATAATAACAACACTAGAGGCAAACAACATTAATAGAGTAGATATCAAACATACACGACGACAATTTCTCTGATCAAAAAAAAAAAATGAATGTGAATGTGAAATGAAGAGAGAATAAAGAATCATCCAATTCATTAAAAATGGAAACACGATAGAGAGACAATTAGTTTGTATTTTTTTTTTTTTTTGAATGATAATGATGTGAATGTTGTTCATTTCATTTCATTTCATTTGTTTCAAATTGTTTCCTTTGTTTTTTTTTCATTATTCTACTTTTTCTCGTTATCGTTGTCGTGGTAATTATTCATTCTTATTGGATAGATTCTTATTCTTGGAATTTTCAACACACTCACACACACACACATAAAGTTGGCAAAAAGAATCCAACACAAAAAAAACAATCAGAAAAAAAGAATTCTCTTCTCCTCCCCCACCCACCAACCCATGGATGATGAACTTGAATTGATGGAATCTAGATTCTAGATGGATATCATCGACGTCATCATCGTCATCGTCATCGTCATTATTTATTCATTCAAATTAAACATTCATCTATTCATTTAAATTCAAAAACCCAAATCAACCAAAAGAAAAGAAAAAGACGTAGGAAAGAAAGAAATGAAATGGAATAAAAATAGAAAACTTTACTTTCACCAACAAAAAAAAAACATCTTGATGAATAAAATATAATCAACAAAAAAAAATGAACCAAAATAAAAAAGTTCAAAATTCAATTAATATGCACACACCACATGAATTCTTCTAAAAAAAAAAAAATTCTGTTATTCATAAAGAATATCGTACATGTACAGACAAAAAACCGGGCGTTAAAAAAAATACAAAGAGAAAAGTCATTATGATGATTAATATTAATATAATAATCGAAAAAATGGAATATTGATCAGGTTGACAATAACAACAACAATAACAAAAAACAAAACGCGAAAACACGAAAAACACAAAAAGACAGCTAGCTGATTCATTAATACGTTGGTGGTTGCATGTTTGTGTTACAAACAGGTTTACAAATTGAAATAAAAAACAATGTTTTACCTGCAAAAAAAAAAAAAATGAAAAGTCCATCATTCAATCATTCTTTTTCATTTCATTTCAATAGTCACGACATTTTCTTACACTTTTTCTTTTATACATATTTCAAACACCAACTGAGTCATGAGAGACACACATTTTTGTTGTTGTAGTTGATGAAAAATTTTCATCGATTAGTTCTTTCCAATAAATGTATTGCCTATTTTCATATAAATATGTCAACGACAGCTGACAAACAAACAAACAAGCAAACAAACGAAAACAATCAACATCTAAAATATTGGAATTCAACAACAACAACAACAATACTTGAATATATTGGCAGTGAAAAAAAATTGATCGATTTTTCGTGTGTGTGTGTGTGTGTGTGATCAAAGAGAAAGAAAAAATTTTTACCTGAAATTAATTGTGCCAATATTAGCCATAAAAGTATCAATTTTCCAATTGAATTTATCATCATTTTCATCGTTGACAATGGCAACGATGTTGACATGATGCTACACGGTTGATGATGTATTGGATGTAGTCGCCGCCACCACCAATGACAATCAAATGATTTCTTGATCATCATCATCAATTTTAAATTCATAATAATTTGTTTAATTGATTGAAAGTTTATTCATTGACACAAACAAAACATATGGACACAATAAAATTATTATGACAATGTTAAACCACTATATATATATAAGAAAATTATTACACACCAATGATGTTCAGCAATGTTGTTGTTGAAATGAAAAAAAAGTTGAAATGGAATGAATTACGTTTTTGTTGTTTTTTTTTTGAAAATATCAAGTGCACACACACATAGACATAATTTACACTTTTAGTTTTTGGCAATATCTGTTTGTGTGTGTGTGTGTGTAGATTTTTTTTCTTCTATTCTGGATTGTCGCTGTTGATTGACTGAAAACAGAATCAAAAATGAGAATTTGGTAAGGAAAAAATATTTCAGTGCAAGGATCCACAGAACACAGCACATAGAGTCAATCACTACTACTACCACTTGGAATCTAATGGTGGTGGTGGTATATACATGAATTGGGAACCAGAATTTTTTTTTTTTTTTTTGTTCTTCAAAACGATTTATTTCCAAATTCTAGTGTGTGCGTGTGTGTAACTATGCGATCCACAAATCATGCTCTGTCCATGAATGAAAGGAAAAAAAAAAATAAACAGGCCACATATGATGAACACTGAATAAATATTTTCTTTTGCTTTTGGCTTCTTTTTCTTCTTCAAAAACGTGAAACAAATTCCCGCTTGGCTTGATTTTTCACCAATGATTCATCTGTGTTTCAGTAGAAGAAAAAAAAACTTCATATTGAATTTATCAGCCAGACCGAAAAACAACAACAACAACAAAAAAAATTATTCTGGTTTTTTTTGCTCCTTTTTTTCTGGTTATACAAAAATTTGTGGCCAGAGAAAAAAACACACACACACACACACAAATACACAAGTCCAGATTGAACATCGAAAAAAAAAAAACAAAAAAAAAGATTGTCAAACATCAAGTATTTAAATTCTGTAAACAAGAAAAAAAAAACACACAAGAGAAAAACCTAGAATCTAGAATCATTGCAGTTATACAGGAATTTAATTCAATTTCACGCACACACAGACAGAAAAAAAAGTAAATGGAGAAGTTTTCAAGTGCACGAAAACAAAAAACAAAAAATGTTTTCCATTTCCGAAACACACACACACACCAGTAATATTCAGATTTCAAAAATTCATTCATTCATTATATCCAATATTGTTTTTTTCTGTCGGTGTCTGTCTGTCTGTTTCAGCAAAAAAAAAACAAAAAAGTGGGAGAGAACCAGAATTGTCATGCAAAACATAATTCACAATTTATGTCCATATATTCCACACATTATGATGATGATGATCACATTATATTAATTCCATTTTAATGATAATAAATAGGATCATCATCATCATCATCATACATATTCTGGTTATTATGAAGAAGAAGAATAATGAAAAAAACAAATAGGAATTGTTTGAAAATGAGATGACTATTTATTTATACAATGTATATCTACTATATAATTGTATATTACACAAATACACGTCATGTGATTGTATTTTTTTTTTTTTAAATCCAATTTTTGTCAGTTCAAAATAAATATAAACCATTAACAAATAACGTTACACACAAAGTAATCATTATCATTAAATGGATTTGGAATTTGTTTTCGTTTCTTTTCGTTCCTGTTTACTCGACACATTTTTTTTTTCGTTGTTGTTGTTGTAAATTTTTATATGATGAAATGAAAAAAAAAATTTGTCTAAAAATTGTTATTACAACAAAAAAAAAATTTCCAAAATATGACAGAATCATCATCATCATCATGTAAAAGCTGATTCTGCTGATTCTATGTTGTTGTTGTTGTTGTTGTTGCATGATAATAATGTTCAAAGCTTTGACAATGTTTTACGTAATAATAAAATTTGCCTTTTGGCTATTTCGACACACAAACACATCAAACAGTTGGTAATAATAATACTGGGAAATGGGGCAATGATTTAGTTAGCAATAGAAATGATGGCTTCTTTTTGTTACTGTTGGAATAGTCCAACTTTCTGGATCAGTTCGTCATCATCATCATCATAATCATCATCAAAGATTGAGAGATTTGGAAAAAGCGCAGCACAAAAAAAAATTGTAAATCAACAACCAAAAAGTAGAATGGATGACATTTTTACATTCTATAAAATTTGTGGATAATGAGAAAAAAAAATCTATAGAAAGTAACCAACCAACCAAGCGAGATAGATAGATAGATCAATCAAAATGAGAAAAATTCAATTTTTTTCTTTTCTACATTGAAAAAAATAAATTCTAATCTTCCCAAAGACAACAACAACAACGGCACAGACAGACGTATTTACGTGGAACAACAACAAGACAAAGAAAAAATCGATTTATTCTACACTAGAACCTCGAAAAAAGAAAAAAAAACACTTTTCAAAAGTTTTTTTTATACAAAAAAGAAAATCAAATCAAATGATAAAATGGATCCAAACAAAACAAAACAAAACAAAAAAAAACTCGAACTTTCCACAGTTTTTAATTGATTATCATTGACCTTAGAATGAACATTGAATAAATACACTGAGATCATCATCATCATCATCAAAACGATCGATTCAGAAATTTCAAATGTTTCATCAGCTAAAGATGATGAAAAATGGAAAAGAAAAACCTACGCAAAAATCAAATGTTTCTATTTCAACACCATTGGCCAATAGATTGTAATTGTAAATATTATCATTTTCAATGACGTTTATTTTTTTTTTTTCTAGACGCTATCGAAATGATTGATTGTAATTGATTTTTTTTTCGCCATTTTCACATTCGTTTATTTTTTTTATTATTTTTTTTCTCATTATTTGATTTGAATCATTTTTTTCGGGTGTGAAAGATGATAAAAATGGCGTAAAAGGAAAAAAATTCATTGAATTCGTCGTGTGTATTAATAATAATAATCATCATCATCGGTATCAAAACCCATTATCAAAGCTATTAAAGTAAACACACCAAAAAACATTGGGCTGGAATCGGCAAACAAAACAAAAAAAAATCTGATTTTTGCTGATTCAAGAATTTTCCAGAAAATTTTTTGTTTTTCAATGTAAAACTAAATATTATACTATAAGCAGTGTCGCAATCATAATTATCATTTAAAACTGATGACATTATTCACGGTGTAATTTATTGAACAAAAAATTAATCAAATAACGTGTGTGGAAGGGTGTATGGCATAATTGCAGATTGTGTTTTTTTTTGTAATCATCACCATCATTATAATAATAATCATCATCAGGTCGATTTAACGCATTTTAATATTATGGAACAGAAAAAAAATTGTAAATTCTGCTCGATTCTGTCTTTTCTTTCACACTATTCATATTTCTGGAGTGGAGAAATTTTCCATAAATAATTTTTTTAAAGTTTGAAGTTTTTTTTTATTATATTTCGTTTCACCATCATCATCATTACACAACACATTGATTATCAACAACAACAAAGAACCACCACCACCACCACCACCAATAATAAACATCAAATGATTGCCATGCCACGACCGCCACCATTATTCAATTCAATCTAATTCAAACATTGTGTAGATCACATAAAGATATTCGTGGCGAAAAAAAAGAAGAAAAAGAAAAACACAAGGTTCTGGTTGAAAATTATTGAAAACAATCAACAACAACAACAACAACAACAGTAAACAACCGACAGTTACACGCGATTATTCTCGGGTATTTTTTTATGCAAGTGATAAACATGAGTGTGAAACGAAGAGAGAGACAGAGAGAGAGAGAGAGGGAGAAACAAAATATGTTTTCAAAAAGATTGCAAAGAAAAACATCCATTATTTAGATTTATGATGCTAGAAAAAAAAATGAAAAGAAAAGAGAATATTCTTCAATGAAAAAAATAACCAGCAGCAGTAACAAAAGAAAAATGATGCAAATCAGAAAAAATGAATGAATGAATGAATGAACAAAGGGAGGAAAAACTTGAAAATTTTTCATTTTTAACGCCATAATTTTATATTTATTCCACATATGGATTGTGTGGTTCACAATAACAACAACAAAACAACATTACGACGACGATGACGATGATGATGAGAAAATAAACAATAAAAAAAACACTTAAAAAAATTTTCAATTGAAAAAATGAATTTTTGATTTTTTTTTTTTTTTTGATCAACAGCATGTTGTTTTTGTGTGTGCTGCTATAGTGTGTCTGGCAATCCAGAGAAAAAAAATTGATGGTGTTTTTTTTTCTCTCTGACATGATGATGATTAGATCGATACAGAAGCAATTATCTGACAGCACAAAAGATTTAAAGAATTTTGTGACACACACACACACACACACACACACACACATGCAGAATCAAAAGATTTTTTTCTCGTTTCTTCATGTTTCACATGATAAGATGACAACTTTTAAGCTTTAATTTTTGAGTTGAGTTGAGTTGACAAATTTGAAAAGCAAAAGCAAAAAAAAAAATGGAAAAAATTCACATCAAAATCAGATTTATATATCAAGAATTATTTGGCTAATTATTTTCGATCCATCTACAGATGTGGTTTGCAACAACAAAAGAGAAGAAAAAAAAATTTTTGGATGAACAAAATTCAAATTGAAAAAAAAATTGGAATTTTCAAATCAAATTTGACAATTCTCAACACAAACACACATGCAAAAACGAAAATCAAACAAATTCATCTGATGATGATGATGATGATGATACCTATTATGGATAGATAGATACAATTTACAGTGAAATAACACACACACACACATACAATGTACGATCATAATAATAAATCTAAATTGACGCCCATGAAAATAACAAATTTTATATTTGGATCGATTCAACAACAACAACAACAACAAAAGAAGAAAGAGAAAGAAAGAAATGAACCAAACACCTCAATTATTATTCTAAACATATACAACAACAAGGTTGAACACCAATTTTGTGTGTGTGTGTGTATATATACAAAAAGCAGAAGAAAAAACAATTTAATGTGACAAAAAGAAGAAGAAAAAGAAGTCAATGAAGTATGGTTAAATTG